CCTCGAATGCTGCTCTTCTCAAATGAGACGGATAATTAGCTGCCCCGCACGAATGGCGCACTCTTCTCACCCCTGATTGCTATCACCTTCTTGCTCCTGGCAGTTTTGACACCTCGTAATCAGCCTGCTGCTTTTTCTCTTTTCTTCCCCTATTTCTGATTTTTTTCTCCCCCTTCCTTCATTTTTTTTTTTTTTTAAATGCAATCCCAGTTGCCATTTGGATTGAGACTCCTCTGTTGAGTTAACCTTGTATGATTGCGGGGGAAAGGGGAATGTACGGTAGGGAGGGAAAGAAATCGCCTCCTCTCAGTCTCATCTGCTGAGAGAACCGGGATGGGGGTAGGAGCATCTCGGCTTGATCCTCCAGAGCTTTTGTTCGTAAGGGGGACCAGAATCTCCTGGGCATCCTCTGAATTAACATTATCTCGGATGGGGAAGGATCGTGTGTGGAGCGACCCCTCCGCTCAGTTAATGGAGAAAAGTCTGCATTTCTATTGAGTTATCTGTTTAGTTAAATTCAACAATATGAGATTTTAAAAGTAAGTTCACAAGGCCAGGAAGCTCTCTCTTCCTCCCTGGTAGGCAGGGAAAGAAGGTAACTTCTGAGCCTTTTAAGAGTGAATTCACTATGTTCCACGGGAGTCAGAAGAGAGCTCTGATTGGAGTGCGAGGTGGCAGAGGGAACTTCATCCCTTCTGATCCCGGAGAAATAAGAGATCTCAGTTAATGCTCTGGTGATTTCTGCGAGATCTTACAAAAACAGAGGACTCGTGGAATCTGTCATAGGAGCGTTTTCCTCTCCTCTAACAAGCACTGACAGTCTAATTACCGGAGCTACGAGCAGCTGTCGAGTTAGCCGGGGAGACAGAGGAGCTACATGTGTTCGACCCGGCGGCGGGCACTGAGCCCTTGCACCGGGCTGAGGCAGCCGTAACGCCACGGCGTGCCCCTCGAAAACCTCCCAAACAGAAAGGGGAGCGGTTTGCTTCCTTGCTTTCAAGTCAGAACTGGAGTTCTCGGGAATATTGGCTGTAAACTTCGGGGTTCACGGGTGGCGTGGCGTCTGCGCGGGGCGACGGGACCAGTGGACCCCTACGGGACAGCGGCCTCAGCCCGGGGG